GCTCTGTGAGCATCCAGCTTCTTTTGCAATTGCCTTTTGAGACTTTTCCTCCTTATGGAGGGTGTCAATGATGGTCGTCTGCACAACCGTCAAGTCAGCAGTCTTCCCCATGATTCTGAAGCCTACTAAGCCAGACTGAGACAATTTCAAGGCTGAGGAAACCTTTGCAGGTGTTTTGCATTAATTAGCTGACTAGATTGGGACACAGGGAGCCTACAATGTTGAACTTTGTCATGATATTCTAATTTTGTGAAATACTGGATTTGGGTTTTTTTTTGTCTTTAATCCATAATCATCAAAATTGAAACAAATAAGGGCTTGAAATATTTCACTTTGTGTGCAGTGAACTAATATAACATACAAGTTTCACTTTTTGAAACAAATTATTGAAATAAATGGACTTTTCCTCTATTCTAATTTTTTGGCACATACCTGTACATCCTCCAATCTATTGACCGGTGTATCATTATCCATAAAATATTGAGGGTAGTTACTCTTGCTGGAACTGTTTCTAATCAACTGTTTCTATTTGGTAGAAACCAACATTTAGAGCACATTTCCAAATCTTCTGAATATCAAATCAATTCAAATTTTATTTGTATAGCGCCAAATCACAACAAACGTTATCTCAGGACACTTTAGAAAGTAAGGCCTAGATCTTACTGTTATCACTATTATTACAGAGGGAAAACCCAACAAATCCCCCTGAGCAGCACTTGGCGACAGTGGGGAGGAAAAACTCCCTTTAACGGAAGAAACCTCACACAGACCCCGGCTCTTGGTGGGCGGCCTTCTGCCTCGACCAGTTGGGGTGAGTGGATAGAGGAGGAGCTGCCCTCTTCCTGTGATTTATTTGGATTGCATCTGACATGCAACATTCCAGCAGGCCAGTCGAGGGCAAAGTACAGCTAGAATTTCAGGATTCTTAAGAAAGAAATTATTGGGAACAAGCACCACAAAGCTGTCGCTTAAAATTTAAAAAAAATGTTCCTTAAAGTTCAAATATCGTTTTCGCTGGAGAATCATCATATTTTTCCAGCATAAGGAGAGAGGAAAGGAGAGGAAAGGTCTTAAGTCTAGTCTTAAAGGTAGAGAGGGTGGCCTCCCGAACTGAGACTGGGAGTTGGTTCCATAGGAGAGGAGCTTGATAGCTAAAGGCTCTGCCTCCCATTCTACTTCTGTGGACTCTAGGAACCACAAGTAAACCTGCACTCTGAGAGCGAAGTGCTCTGTTAGGATAATAAGGCTCTATGAGGTCTTTAAGGTATGATGGAGCCTTGTCATTAAGGGCTTTGTATGTTAGGAGAAGAACTTTAAATTCTCTTCTGGATTTTACAGGGAGCCAGTGGAGAGAAGCTAATATGGGAGAGATATGCTCTCTCTTGCTAGTTCCTGTCAGTACTCTGGCTGCAGCATTTTGGATTAACTGGAGGCTTTTTAGGGAACTATTGGGAAATCCTGATAGTAAGGAGTTACAGTAGTCCAGCCTGGAAGTAACAAATGCATGGACCAGTTTTTCAGCATTTTATACTTTTATACTTTATACTTTTAAAAAGTATAAGCTTTGTAGATCACTGCCATAATATTTTTTGTTTATGATTTTAAAAATAGAGAGTGAAAATGCATCATTACAACTAACACTAAGATTAATTAGATTTTTGTCAGGCTTCACAATCTTGTAAAATTGCATTTCTAATCAGATATTCATATTTCATTTATGTTCTTATTTTTACTTACTATAAATATCTATATACAGGGTATTAGCAGCATAAGAACTGCAGACAGCTGAGCAGCCATTTGGTACAAAGTCACAGATGCATCCAAACAGGGACATCTTAAAGCAAAATCCATCCATCCATTATCTATACCACTTGTCCTTAAGAGGGTCATGGGAGGGCTCATTGGGTGGGGTCCACCCTGGACAGGTCTCCAGTCTATCACAGGGCTGAAACAACCACATTCACTCCCACGAGCAATTTAGAGTCGCCAGTCAAGCTAAGCTGCATGTCTTTGGATTGTGGGAGGAAGCTGGAGTACCCAGAGAGAACACACCCAGGCACAGAGATAACATGCAGACTCCGCCCAGCCCAAGTTTGAACCCAGAACCTTCTTGCTGTGAGGCGACAGCACTAACCACCAGGACAAAATATATTTTGCTGATACTACTGTACAGTCATATTAGCTTAGGGCTAACTAGCTCTACCCTGCGGTAAAAGAACAGTTCTGCTACTTTATTAGCCTGTCTTCTACCCGGATCATTTTGTGAGAATGGTTGGAATGTGGCTTTAGCCTCAATGGTTTAGCATGATGTCATGTACATCAATGGCAAATCATAACCCTTTTACAGCGTTCTTGTGTGAAAATGATTTTCCAACCAACAAGTTAAGTTAGTCCTCGTTTCAGCCAAAGAGCAATGATTGTTACCGGTTAAAAAGAAAAGTCAGCTTTTATTTGTCAGGATTTGAGAAACAATTGTTTCAAAGATTAGTAAGAAACCACAGGTGTGTTGCGCTGACACGGAACGTTCATCAGGTGTGCCGGTAGCAGCTAAATGGAGTAAACAGACATTTTGCAAAGTGTCAATCTCATTTTAGAATGCTCTGTCTTTATTAACATGAATATGATGTTGATGTAATTTTGTTCTCTCTCTATTTTCTTCCCATCTCTCCCTTTCTACCAGACTGCAGCGTGATGAGCACCATGGACCCCCTCCTTTGCATCACTCTCCTGTTTCTGCATAAGCTCCTCCCCTTCCTGTTGGCTCACTGAAGAGACTTCAACCAAAATTATGTCAACCTTCAACCTTCTCACTTTCTACACCAAACAGGAACCAAGCCGCAGTCACGCCCACCAGGGAGAAAGGGTCACATTAAATCGATGTATGCAACACATCACTGCCGGGGGTGAAAGCAATGCAACAGTGGATGGTGGAGTCGGGCAGAAAAGACTAGATAAACTGGAGAAGAAGGACACTCACAAATGGACGCTACAGACTGTAGACAGAGCAGAGTGTGGAGGAGAGATTGATGGGAGCACCATTACTGATTCACAAAGCCTGTACAGCGTGGTCACCTGAAGCTACGCCTTTGCTCTGCACCCACTTCATGCACGGCCCTGCTCAAACACTCCACACTCCCATTTCTTTAGAACATCTCCACTGTGAATCCTGTTCCTCTGACAGCACACCTCACTGCAGTGCGAGTCCTGGTGTTGATTTGAACACAGGCACCGTCATTAGTTGTATGGAAAACGTGACCTCTGTGCTTTTGTGTTTGCGAGGGGGCGATTTGATCAGCATGACCCAGTCAGTCATTGACATACTGTATTTTTTCTGTGGCCATATCAGGGCTGTACAGATCTACTGTTCATCCAGTGTGTTAGTCTGATGTATTTTGTGTCCAGCCTCCTCCTACACACACACAAACACACAATCACATACTTTGGTTCTCATAGCTGTGTTCCATAGTCTAAATATCAAATGATGAGCTGATATATTTTGATTAAGATAAGGCACACTTTCCCATAGTTGTTGTTAATCACCTCCAATAATGTTTATTTTTATTAAAGCTATGGTGGTCAAAGTGAGACATTTGATTTCTATGAGACAAAAAAGGATTTACTGGTAACTTGCCAACAGCAGTTGAGATGAAGCTTTATTGTTTTTTTTGTAATAAAAGGTAGATTTCAAAGGCGTCATATGTTAATGGATTTTTTTTCAACACACCGTATTATACACAACAGAAAACACACAAGGTGCAACAGACATTAATCCACATTACTCATAGTCAACAACAGCTCCATGTCCATTTGGGGACAACTCTGCTCCAGCAGAGGCAAAGATTGTGAAGTGTCACCATCATCTTGGCAGTTTCCCAGAGCCAGCGGTATAGAAGGTTTTTCATATATCCCCATGAACAATTATGAATATTGCCACTCATCAGTTCTCCTATTTTGGTGACCTCTGACCAATGATACAAAGCGGCCAACGTTCCAATGTGTACAAAAGTAATATTAAAATAAAATGTGCACATTACTATAAAATTTGCTGACCATATTTATACTCCACACCATTAATACAAGGGAATTACCTCTTTTAAAGGACACTATGAACGCCACCTGTTCATGAGGAGGTGCACATTAAGGAAATTTGATCATTTGCATGATCAGCTGCTGCTCGATAGCTGCCTGTTCTGCTCTGTCTGCGTTTCATTCACAAATATGTAACCAAAGAGTAATATTGTGCCTTTAGGAATCAGCATAACAAAAATTTGTCATTTCAGAGGACCACTGCTGTGGTCCTCTGCTAACCAGAGGACTGATGGTTCAAATCCTGGCTTCTTCAGTCCACTTGTCAAAGTGTCTTTGGGCAAGATACTGAACCCCAAGTTGTTCCTCGTATCTGTGGCATTTGTGTGTGTGTGAATGCTTGTGGTCACGAATGGGTGAATGGGAAATAGTGTAAAGTGCTTTGAGCTGCCAACATGCCACCAGAGCTGTACTGTGACAGAAATAATGAAAAGGTCCTTCTAAAGCAAAGTGACCTATGACTAATTACTGTATGTATAT